TGAAAACCCAGTCGGTTCATTGCTGAGTCAGGCTCTGTGTAGCATGTAACCAGCTGGGACTATGTGTTTAAACAGCAAGTCAGTGGATGTGCAGAAGAGTTTATTATTTTTGAGGAAACTCAGCACAAAGATGGTGCCTAGCATTCTGTGAATGAAACAAGTGTTGTCATTGCACACATTATCCTTATCCCTAATAACAATAGAATGCATGTTTATTTAAAAGAGAAAATCTAATAACCACTGATAATAACAGAGGTGACAGTGCTTAGTTTGAAAGATTAAATGGAACTGGTGATCCCTCAAACCTTTTAGTCTTGTACATAATGGACAGTGAAGTGATCTGGGTGTTCTCATTTCCTCTGTGAGAGCCTGAAAGGTGCTTCTTTCGTTTCAAAATGTGGCTTGAGTATGATCAGAGACACACAATGCTTTGTGTTGAATGGGTTCTAAAAGATGAGATGAGAGTACTGATTAAAAATGAATGATGAGAAAGGTGCAAGATATTTCCTAGAGAATGTAATGAATCACTGAAACATGTGTCTACTGATTCACAAGTCATAGGTTTAGCTTGAAGAAGAGCTATTATTTTAACTGTTTGTAAGGATCTGCAGTGTTTTGCAGAGCCATGTTATGGTTCAGTTTTGACTCCTGTTACTGAATGTTGCACATGCATCCATTTCCAGATATCACTTTTAAATAAGTAGCATAAATATCATTGTTACTTAGAGCTGATGTTATTAAAAGTATTTCTGCCTGATCTTACATGTCATTTACTTACTAACATGTTGTTACTAACAGAAATAAGGAGAACAGTTTGCAGCACAATCTATTATGAGATGTAATTTAAAGAAAAGTTTGGACTGATTCTTTATACTTGTACTTTTCTCAGAGGAGTCCATATACTGTTACACACCACACAACTTCACTCGAGACCAGGCACTGTATGCAAGAGGCTACTGCTGGACAGAGCTTCGTGATGCTAAACCTGGTATGGAGCCAGCTGAGTGGCCTTCGCTATTTGAGCACAAGTTCCTCCCCTATGCTCTGCTGGCCTTTGCAGGAATCATGTACATTCCTGCTTTGGGCTGGGAGTTCCTCGCCTCTACAAGGCTCACTTCAGAGCTCAATTTCCTGCTTCAAGAGATTGATAACTGCTATCATCGAGCTGCTGAGGGCCGGGCCCCAAAGATCGAGAAGCAGATCCAGTCCAAAGGGCCGGGCATAACTGAGCGGGAGAGGAGGGAGATCATAGAGAATGCAGAGAAAGAGAAGAGCCCTGAGCAGAACCTCTTTGAGAAATATTTGGAGAGACGAGGCCAAAGCAACTTTTTGGCCAAGATTTACCTGGCTCGCCATCTTTCTATTATCTGCCTCAGTTCAATACCCATTTCCTACCTGAGCACCTACTATGCCCGCCAAAGGCAAAATGAGTTCACCTGTGCACTAGGTGAGCACCCAGACATTAGCAGCTATCCAGAGCTGAAGCTCAGGGTCAACTGTAAGCTGCCTGCTGTGCAGCTGCAGCGCATCATGGCAGCAGTAGATATTGCTCTACTCTGCACCATGAACCTCATCATTCTGGTTAATTTGCTGCATCTTTTTGTGGTACGCAAGTCCAACTTTGTATTCGACAAACTCCATAAGGTTGGAATTAAAACGCGGCGACGCTGGCAGAAGTCTCAGTTCTGCGATATCAACATCCTGGCCATGTTCTGCAATGAGAACAGGGATCACATTAAGTCGCTCAACCGACTGGACTTCATCACCAATGAGAGTGACCTCATGTACGACAATGTAGTCAGGCAGCTGCTGGCTGCACTTGCACAGTCCAACCATGATGCCACACCCACTGTGAGGGAATCTGGGATCCAAACAATTGATCCCAATATGGATCCTTCTGACCTCGGGGTTCGAGAGATGGGTGGTGAGCCACTGGTCGTCAAACGACCTCGTAAGAAGATTAAATGGATCCCATCCTCAAATCCTCTTCCTCAACCATTTAAGGTAAGGAAACATGTTTCTGAATGCAAAATGTACTATCCTCTAGAAGCAGATTGACCCTTACTTTAAATATTGACTCAGTGGAGTGCACATACTCTAGGCCATAATCCTTCAAATGGTGTAATAGTAACTCTTGATAAGGGCCTTTTTCACTGAAGAGGCATAAGAAGCAGCTTTCTTTTAGGACTTACAATATATGCAAAATAGTAAGAAGACTTCATCTGTTGCTGTTGAAGACTTGAACTGACCTCTTTTTATTTTCTGTCCAATGTGAAGGAACCTCTCACCCTGACACGGCTGGAAAATAACACAAAGCAGGAAAAACCCAAACCTCTCAGACGAAAAATAGTGGCAGACAGCATTATTGCACCTATTTTGGATAACAAGAGCACACAGCATCCTTCAACAAAAGGTATCGGGTAGTTTGAATATGTAGTAAGAAAGACATTTTAAAGCTTTTATAATTAGTTTAAATAAGTTAGGCGCACTATCCGACCAGTATGAAACATATGTTCCTATGTATCTAGTATTATGTAGGCGAATTCTGTGACCATAAAATGAACTGAGACAGTTTAAACAACACTCTTGATGGGTGGTCTCCCCATCTGCTCTAATGATCTACTTATTTTCTGATTGTAGATGTAAGTGGAATGGAGAAAAAGCATACACGCAACTTCTCTTTGGATGTCCACCCGTATATGTTGACAACTCGCAAGCCCAAGGTGGAGACCACAACCACAGAACCTCTACCCTCAGAGCACAACATGGATACAGTGTACCTTGAAGGCACACACACTGTGGTTCATGTGTCCAGTGCAATTACAGGTAGCTCTCATTGTGCTTATGCCTGAGACAGAGATATCATTTCATTTGGATGTGCCTTTCATAGTGCATTTCTACAGCAGGACAGTGGGCATAGCTATTTACAACATACACATTCTACTTGCATACGATGCTTGTGCTGCATGGCCAATCACCTTTGGCCAGCTAATATTTTTACTTTCTTTCTCTTTAGCTCCCATTTTTATTCTGTATATTTATTTGATTACAGAGAATAAGATTCGCTCTCCAGAATCAACCAACGCTGCCTTCTCTGCAGGGACCCTGTCCACCACTACATATGTAAATGGAGTTAGCCCCAACCCTCCCTCCAGTGAAGATGCGCTCAGTCCCAAGTCCTCACCTCAACAACTGGGGCCTTCCACTCAGAAGGAAAATGCTGAGTCTCAACCACCTCCACTAACAAGAGCACCCACACACCAGCTACTGAGTATGCATCGTACTCTCTTTGAGGAAGAAGAGGATGAAAGCGGGAGGGACAGGCTGGCAGAGAGGCCTGGGGAGCTCATCGCTGCAGGAGAATGTTGAGGAAGAGGAGAAGAAGAAGAGGAACCGTGACTGAGATTATTTTCCCTGACACTGCACTCTACACACATAACCTCCATGCCAGTCACCTTCTATCAGCTGCCACCTCTGATCTTTCAATTAACTTCTGTACTTCCAGGATTGTTGGAGCAGAAATGGAATAGATGTGACTTGGGAAGACTCTTGTGGCAAAGCTGAGCTTTCAGAAAGGATAAACTGAGAGATATATGTTTCGTTACCTGTGTTGACCAGCTTATTACTGTAGGAAATGATGTCACACTCATGTCTCAGGATGACTGTGTTTAGCTAATCACCCACCAATGAAACCAGCAGTGACATAATTCAACAGGGTGCTACAGTGCAGGGTCACACAGTTATATTGAAAAAGTATATAGACAGGGTAAAGAGCGAGGAGTGACTTTCCTAATAATAATTTAAAAAAAGGCAGACACTTTAGAAATGCAAATCTGCAACATCAAACAAAATGTATTTTAATCACATGATAACGCTTAGTCCCTTTATCCCACTAGCCAAGTAGAAAGGTAGCTCATGCAATACAGTTGTTGAGATCTGCACAATTAATATGCAAAAGATCACAGTATAATTGTGGCAATAATGTATGCGCTTAGAACATCTTATTCCACACGCTGTACATGTATAGACACTGTATATGACTCACTGCTTGTGGGGTGTTTAAATATGACATGTTTCATGGCTAATTACTGCCATTTCACAATTGCATAAGAACACGATTCTTAACTATACTTGGACGCCATTTGAAAGTACAGCAGACAGCAGACTCCCCATTGAAAGCGTGACTTTGTAAAACAAAGTAGAACTGTAATACTGCTTAGTGAAACTAATGCCAGATATGTTTTGATGCTGTAAAAAAGGCAGTTACCGTGATGTGTTCTTTTTGAAGACTTTAATAGCAGCTCTGAGATGACGGGAGCTGGACTCACTGGTAAAATATGACCTTTTGTGTTCTGTTGGCTTCTTGAGGAAGTGTCTAATGTGAAGTGAATATATAGATGAGCAGGATAAGGGTTTTATAAGAATGACTAAGGTTTTCATTATCCGCTATAAACACACAGACTATTTTTTTTTTGCATTTCTTGCAGCTGCATACATTAGGGTACAGACTAGAATAAAGGAACTTCCTGCACTGACTCAGAAACCAACAGGACATCAACTGTAGAAGACATTAGTCTCATTTTCAGGGCCTACCTAAAGAATGGGTAGACCTATGCATACCTTTTTTTCTGGGGCATTAAAATTAAATGAAATCTTTTGTCTTGGTGATTCTTCATCTCCATAGGCTAGCTCAAAATCCCCTTGTTAGAGACTACTTAAGCACACTAAATGCATCCAAAAGCACTTTAGGACGAGTAGTACTAGTGTGTGAGAGCACATTGTATCAGAGCTCTGCTTTAATATGATTTTACTGTGTTGATTTACACATTAGGACTGTTGGCCTGTGAAAACCTTTAGCAGTCCTAATGCGAGTAATCACATGGATAATATGGCTTTGGTTGTAACGTGTGAAATGTTCATAAAAAAGGATTAAAAGCGTTATCTTTATAATTAAATCCCCCAAAATGCGTCTCAACAATCAATGACTACATGTACCAGAATGCACCGCGGCTGTCAGATACAGCCTGACACTGTGCTGCTGTACTAGCGGAGAGCACTCTGGCAGAAGGGCCGACTTAGTAAGTAACAGGTCTTTCTTTTTATAGACAACTATCGCGTATAGTATCTTATATCTCGTGTTTCAGATTCGCATTTATTTTTAAAAAATCCTCTTTTTTAAATTCCTCTAATGAGAGCAGATTCCTGGCGGACTTGTTAGCCCACATTAGCTTGAGTAAAGGTAGCTAGCCAAAACGAAGAGCCCTCGGTAACTACACGTTCAGTATTTAGCAGCTCTACACCTGGAAGTAAGGTATTGCACGTTAGACCTTCCACCGACTAGGCGCTTCTTCCTTTACTGCGCAGTTGTTCTAATCTTACTGATAATGGTGCCTCTTTGATTTAATTCTCTGAAATCAGCGGCAGCAACTACTTTAGCCAGCGTTGATCGCGTTTAAACTGCGTTTAGAGAAGTCGGCAGCTGTTGTCGTTACACATAAAGCAACGTCAGCAGTCAGTGAGGCTGTGCTGTGTCTACGTTACTGTCAGTGAACGCCTCACCGCTCTCTGTGTGCGCCAATGACTTCCATCTGCTCTCTGTCACATACAGCTCCCAGGGCTGCAAGCATGGACCAAGAAAACAACTCGGAGGTTGGTAAAGAAACATGTTTTATTGGTCTGGCTGAAAAATAGGGTGTTTTATCAGGTGGGAGATAGCCCTGCGTCAGCCTCTGAGTTTTTAGAGTGATGTAACATAGTCTCTGTTGTTTCTCAATTGCCACTTATGTGAAGCTGCCCCACCTTTCTTAAACTGACTTGACTTGAGCAATAAGAATAACATTTTAATCTGCTGCTGATGTAAATAAGCCCACTATATTTAACTTTGTTGTTTCAATGTCTCACAGGACGATTCAGTCGGCCCTTCGGGGGACGGAATGCCGTGTCTACCTCCAGATCTTTGTGAGTTGTTGTTTCTTTTTCCCCCCTTCTAAACATATTGTGAGAACAGTATTTCATGAGACAATGTATGTAGTTCCTTATCTTTAAGGGACCACTTGTTGTGAAATATTGTCTCACATTCATAACTTTTTATTACGAATATTTGAATGAATAAAACTGAATGTAATCCGAGACCAATGAATGCATCGGTATTAGGGGGGCACTGCAACAGGCATGTCATTATTATTGAAGTAAATCTAAAATAATAATAGTAATAACTTCAAGTAGCTTTCTATTGGTAAAATAGTAAGAACTCTATTTTTTGTCATTTAAATGCACGTGCTAAGGATTTTATTAGTGTATTCCTCTCAAAGGTACTTTTTAAATGTAAATTTCTACAATTTAGCATAGTGCATTATGTACCTTCCCTCACATAATATAATGGTTATAGTAAGACATAACTTTAATTGTTCTGTCAGTTTAATAAACTTTTATCCCTCTCCTGTATAGCGGATGGTGAAGCAGTGGAGTTGCTTTGGCAGTTGCGAGCCCAGCGCCGCCAGTCGTCTCCTGAACTCCCAGAGACGGTGTCTCGTCTTACTGCACCTGATGGAAGCATCTTATACCTGGTGGGCACTGCCCATTTCAGTGATAGCAGCAAAAAGGATGTAGCCACGGTGAGCCAATGAGGGGGAAAAACAGGACTGTTACAGAGCAGGAAGCCACTTAAACTCTTTTAAAATGTGATATACTGTTAATGGTAGGTGAAATTTTATGTGTAATTCTGTGTGTGTGGAGAAGCACACTCACAGAATTACATATTTAAATGTCGTTTCTTTTTATTTTCTTGTTTTGGCAAGCATAACCTGTCTCTTTTGTTCTTTCACATTGATTTCTCTTGTGCTTGCTTCTTTCATAACTGTTCATTTGCTTTGACATTCCAGTCTTCTGCTTTCTTATTCTGTATTTGTCTCTTGATTTTTCACACCGCTGTGCTCCTTCTCCTGGTGCAGACGATCCGAGCTGTGCAGCCAGACGTGGTCGTGGTGGAGCTGTGCCAGTATAGGGTATCGATGTTGAAGATGGACGAGAATACGCTGTTAAAGGAAGCCAAAGACATCAATCTGGATAAGGTTCAGCAGGCTATCAAACAGGTCAGGATTTATGAAAGGTGTTGGTTGTGTGAAAAACAGCAGTGGTAGATGAAGAGAGGTGGAAAAGGTCATAATGAAACAAAGACAGTGGAAGTACATTTATTCCAAATAAGGCAATGATGGTCAAGTTCTGATATTTTAAACTTTGTTTCAGTATGGTGTAAATATAGCGTTGAGTGTCACTTAAGAGTTTTGGGTTTGTTTCCTACTTTTTTGATATTTGGGATAAAACTTCTGAACTAACTTCTTTAGTTTCCTGTATTATTGTATACTTTCTTTGGGCTTGTATTACTGTCAAATTACTATGTACTTAAAGAATGACCTTGACCACTGGAAGTGGGTGTTAATTTATTTGCTCTGTTTGTCAGAATGGGGTGATGTCGGGTCTGATGCAGATTCTGCTGCTCAAAGTTTCAGCTCACATCACAGAGCAACTGGGCATGGCGCCTGGAGGAGAGTTTAGGGAGGCCTTCAAAGAGGTAACCCGTGCACACAAATGCAACATAGTGGAGAATAATTTGATTATGTATTATTATTTTTGTTTTGTTTGTTTAAAAACTTTTACCTTTCTCTTTTAGGCTGGCCGGGTACCTTTTTGTAAATTTCATCTCGGGGATCGGCCAATTCCTGTGACGTTCAAGAGAGCCATCGCTGCTCTCAGTCTCTGGCAGAAGGCCCGTCTGGCCTGGGGTCTTTGCTTTCTGTCAGACCCAATCAGGTATAAATTCATCTTGATCGCTTTCTGTCACACAGCGTCAACACGACTCTGTTTTAGTACCAAATATTCAGCGGACAGTGTGCATCGTTTCACAGCTTGCTCAAATACATGAATAATGCTGACGTTAGAGAAGAGTCATCATTCAGAGTTTTTGGCAAGAAGGATTATATTGCTCGCTAAATTGGTTCAGGATGGTTCAGTTTTGTGGAAACGTACAAAAGCAAAGTTGTGAAACAGAAGTTTAAATGTTAATGGTGAAATTTGTGGAAAATGGTAAAGCGATAATACCATATTGTTTTCAGCAGTCTTTGCCTGGGTAAAAATGCAACTACAGTGTATATGTGTGAGAATCATGACTTGCTGTGTTTGTGTTTTGTGTACAACCAGGCAGTGAGCACTCACATTTTCAGAGTAACAGCAATGCTACCATTTCTTTCTAAATGATGATGTCTGTAAATCTATAAAACCATTGTGGCTTTCAGCAACTCTGAGATTGAACCTCAGAATTATAAAATGTTGGTTATGGAGACTTAAAGGAATACAAGTATGTTTTTAAAGCTTATGTTGGAGACCAACCAGGCAGTCTGATAAAGTTTATTTAAGCTTCATGCTTACTACTGTGTCAAAGTTCAGGAACTGGAATGTTGGTCTCTATACTGAAAACCTTAAATGTCAATGTTAATCCAGACTCTGCTAGTATTGCACTAAATATAATTAAGAAAATGAAATGTTTCTAAGGTTGCGTTGCATCCTGTATAAAGACGTAAAGTAGGAAGTGTTAAATTGTTTCTAAAACACCACAGTTATAGAACAAGACTATATTCTCTGTCCTGTGTCACTTCCTTTTCACTGTTAAATTGACTGCTGTGTCATGTTTCAGTAAAGAGGATGTGGAGAAGTGTAAACAGAAGGACCTGCTTGAGCAAACTATGTCAGAGATGATTGGAGAGTTTCCTGCTCTTCACAAAACCATTGTGGCTGAAAGAGACATCTACCTCACACACACTCTCCGACAGGCTACTCGCTGTGTGGAGTCCCCCCCTAATGCCCAGAGTGCGTATTACAATCCTCAAAAAGCTAGGACAATAAATTGGTTTCATCTGATGTTAATAAACATTCGTTGGCCAGTTCATTAGGTACCCCTGTTCAAATGCTTGTTTACACAAAACTCTAATCTGTCAATCAGATGATAGCAACTGTATGTAGGCATGTAGACATGGGCAAAACAATCTGCTGAAGTCTAAACTAGGCATCAGAATAGGCAAGAAAGGACTTGCCATAAGGTCTAAGTGTAACTGTGGATTCTAAGTGTTTCAGAAACTGTGGAACTACTGGGATTTTCCCACATGGAAATATCTAGTGTTTACAAAGGGCCAAAAAAACAGAAAATATTCAGTGAGTGCCAGTTCTCTGGGTGAAAATATTGTGTCTTGTTGATGACAGAGGTCAGAGGAGACTGGCCAGACTGCTTTCAGCTGATTAGGAAGGAAACGCTAACTCAAATAGATATTTGTTATAATCAAATTATGTAAAAGATCATTGTTGGACACACATCATACCTCCAAGCAGATGTGCTACTGCAGCATTATACCAAAATGCAACTGTAGCTGTCATGTCAATATGGGCCCAAATCTCAGAGGAATGTTTCCAGCACCCTAGAAAATCTGTGCCGTGAAGAATTAAGGCAGTTCTGAAGTCAAAAGAGGGTTCAACTGTGTTTAACTAATGAATTGGCCAGTGAATTTCATGGTATAGTTTTAAAGTCTCTCTTTCATTCTTATATGGGTGTTAATTCCTTTTTTCCAGCCACTTATAAAATACTTTTTTGTCCGTTTAGTTTGTGGTTTAAAAAACATTGCTCAATATAATTGAAACTAAAGAGTCAAAACTTTATTTTAGCTGTTAAGTACTGTGCACATATCTGTCATCAGATATGTGGGTCAATTGTTGTGAAATCAGCTGACCAGTGATGTCGGTGTGGTTTTAATGTGGTGCAGACATTTAATGGAAATGCTTTTTCATTTTTTGTAACAGTAAGTCATTCTCTTCTGTTTTTGCTGAATAAACTTAGAAACTAAATCTGTATTCATTGTGAAACTACAAAAGAGGTTGTGGATGTTGTAGTTTGACAGTAACGCCTATGTTTTGCAGTAATGAGAAGTTTCTGAATAGTTAAACAAGAGAAAGCTTTGCAAATTCGGAGATCATTTCCCTGGAATAGTTGTGTTATTTTTAAATGTAAAAGTGGAGATGTACTCAGTTCCCCCAAATAACCAATTCTTTTATGCATCAACATTTCCGAGTGTAGACATTGTTTATGCTATCATTGTTCTTTTTGTAGAAGTGCCTGCTGTGGTGGTGGGAGTCGTAGGGATGGGTCACGTCCCTGGCATAGAACGAAACTGGGACAAGCAGCTTAATATTAATGAAATCATGAGGTATGTTTCGCATATTGTTTGTACGCAGTAAATTACACCATAAATCCATAAGCATAATCCTTTTGTGTTTGATTTGGCATTACAACCGTAACTCTGTGTGTCTCTGTCTTCCCTAGTGTCGCACCTCCCTCACGCGTTGGCTGGGTGTTGTGCGCTGTCATAAAGGGCGTCATGATGGGAATGCTGGGATATGCCTGTTATCGTGTCGGTGGAAGTTTAGGTAGAGCCCTGCTGTCTTTACCTCCAGTCCGATCTTTACTGGAGACACTGCGGCCTCTTCCTGCTTGACCCAACTGGTCTTCTCTAAGCCATCTGTGAAACAGAATTATGATCTATTAAAACAATGCATCCATCACCAATGGCCTTAAAATCAGGTGTCAGGTGAGGCTGGAGGAAGAGGGTTCACCAGCCCATATTGTGAACTAACAAGGACCTAATGGGGTTCAGAGCTCCCCACTTTATAATGATGTCTCTGTAGACACAACAGGGCTGTACTGCCAAAGAAACCATGACAGTACTCTTGAGTACCTTGCATATTTTGTGCAAATTCATGCATATATATATTTTTTTGTTTGTTTGTTTTATGGTAAGATTCACAAAGGCCAATAGTTCATTTTGAGTATATTTATATTTTCCACAGCATTCCTTCAAAGGACTCATGCACACGTTTTCTTTTTCATTATTATTATTTGATTAGCATCCTGATCATCAGGTTCACTGTTACTCACGGGCCCTCATATAGTGGGGGATTTTTCTGGGAGCATGCTGTTTCTTTAGTCCTTCATATAGTGCCGACCAGTATTGTTGGTAATTGGCTTGTTTCAAGTTCAGCACTTTATTAGAGACTGATAACATTTTTGTTCTGTACATGCAGTCTGGGAGAGGGGAAAAAAATACAGCTATGTTAAAAAAGTGGAAAAATACAATATATAGTTATTGTATAGACTGGCCCACATATGTATGTAAGGAATACATGAAAATGATGTGAATCAGACTGAGCGTCATTCTCCTAATTCTCAATACGTTTTTAAAGCATTAGACAAACTTCACTGATTTCTTCTGTGCACCGTCCTGCCAACATCAACAAGACAAGTGCCTCATATTGGAGCTGCAGAAATGTGTGTTGTTATCTTACACGTGCAAAGGTTCAATGCAAGATTAAAGAGGATGTCTTTATGATATTACATGATCTGCCTATTTTCTAAATACTAAAAAGTTTGTGTTGACTTGGTTGCAGCTGAAATGATACCATACACCCATTTATGTCATTACCCATGCATACAGAACAGGTTTATATATGCCTCAGGAAGAGCAGTGCATCATCTATCAACTTCTAGAGTTGTTTATACCTCCAGTTTGGGGCCCTCTCACACAAATATATGCATTATATACAGAAAGTTGTCTCTAAAAACCATCACAAGGAAACATCCTAATATTCAGTGTGCCAACTGTACTTTTGGAATATATGCATTATTATTTCCCAGTCTGAGATAAACCCATGGACCGAAATGCTGAAAATTACAAAACATGTTTCTTTCTCTCAAATGAACCATCATGTTTTTAATGACTGTTGTTTTTTATCTTCTATGAAGGAAACTGAGCCGGTCAGATTTGGGAGATAAAGCCTTATTCTGTTATCACTGCTGCCTTTGAGTCTTACATTGCCCAACACTGAGCTGTATCTCTTGTAGAGCTTCTTACTGAGTTTGTAATCACTGGCTACATGACCTTCCCTTGAAATATGAGCTGTCCCATTAATAATAATCGAGTAGTCTAAACTGTACAGACATTAATTTCAAGGTAAAGTCAGACAAGTTAATTTCCTTTTATAATCCGAATAAAAGAATATGAAAGATTAACTTGAACTTGAAATCATAAGTGGACAACTTGCAAGCTTTCCACATTTTGGATAATTCATATAAAGTCCAACCTCTGCAGCATCTCCTCTGTGTGTGTCTCCCATTTCCTGTAGGAATCCTTGTATTGTAAGATTTTCTTCCTCAGCGTGTTGTACTGCCATTGATGTAAACACATAAACACACCAAGCAGTGAGATTTAGAAATGGAATTTATAAACATTTTAAGTAAAGGAAAAATATATTTGTCTCAAAACTGTTGTAGTCCTGTCGTTTTAATTTTATGCAAATGATTTTTTTTTAATTTAATTTATTTTGATAATTTATGAGAAAAATATTTTAAACCTAAATAACTCTATTCGGTCAATGCAGTTCCGTATTTTCTGTTTGTTTCCGATCGGACGAATACTGTCGTTACACCGTATCTCACAAACATCCGCTGTAGCTTGCAGGATTATGAAAGCGTGACTAGTGAATACTTTTTAACTGCGCCAGCGGATAGACGCAGACAGATGGCCTGGTTTGCATGGCTTATTTAGGACCTAGGCTGGGACCGTCACGCGTCTTTCTTTCCGGTGTGTCCGCCTTAAGACTCGTCTCCACTGCCGGGATGGACGACATGGGTCTGGCCATGAGTCGTTCTTCGCTGGAGCGGCTCGAATTTGACAACGTCGCCCTCAAGAAACTTCCCCTGGATCCATCCGAGGAGCAGGGGGTGCGGCAGGTGAAGGGAGCGTGTTTCTCCCGGGTGACACCACAACCGCTGACCAAGCCTCGGTTCGTGGCCGTGTCCCACCAAGCTCAGGCACTGCTGGGGCTGGACGGAGAGGAGGTCGTGAACGATCCTCTCGGGCCAGAATATCTCAGCGGATCCAAAGTCATGCCAGGATCTGAACCCGCCGCTCACTGCTACTGCGGACATCAGTACGGACAATTCGCCGGACAGCTGGGCGATGGGGCGGCCTGTTACCTGGGAGAGGTGAAGGTTCCGTCTGGCCAAGATCCCGAACTTCTCCGAGAAAACCCGAGTGGCCGGTGGGAGATTCAGGTGAAAGGAGCTGGGCTGACCCCGTACTCCAGGTACAAGGGGTTGCTTTCATTGTCAGTTTGAGTGGGCTTTGCAAGATTATGTTTAATTTATTTATTAGGTTAAGAATAAATGTGGCTTAATCTATTTTTATAACTCCACCAGAGAGATTAAAACATGAAAAATACTTTGATTCTCTGTTTTAACAGAGCATATGTGATTGAAGAAAGGCAATATTTGGCAATCAGATGCACCTTTTTTGCTGAGCATTGGAAAAAAAAAAGTCCTTTTCTCTTCCACAGACAAGCTGATGGCCGTAAGGTCCTGCGTTCCAGTATAAGAGAGTTCCTGTGCAGCGAGGCGATGTTCTTCCTGGGAGTGCCCACCACCAGAGCAGGCTCTGTAGTCACTTCCGACAGCAGGGTCATACGTGATGTGTACTACAACGGGCACGCTCGCCACGAAAGATGTTCTGTGGTCCTCCGCATTGCTCCTACCTTCATCAGGTGGGTGCACATTACCTGACCTACTTACTCATATTGAGTTTCTATTTGTGTTTAAATGGGATTTGTTTGTGTTCACGGCCTGAGCAGGTTTGGATCTTTTGAGATCTTCAAGCCCGCCGATGAGTTCACAGGTCGCCAGGGTCCCAGCTATGGGCGCGATGAGATCCGAGGTCAAATGATGGATTATGTCATTGAGATGTTCTACCCTGAGATCCAACAGAACTACCCAGATCGGGTGGAGAGGAACGTAGCTTTCTTTCGAGAGGTCAGAGCATGAGTTACACTCTCACCTGTCAGCGTGTAGAGACAGTGAAATGTTGCAGCAAATCAAAAATTGTTATGTATTCAAGATTTTCTTAGCACTGTAGGCCTGGAATAACTTTGATAACATTTTTTATCTGATCCATAGAAAGAAGTTATGATGTAATATGCTCAGGGCTGTTCTCAGATTTTAGAGACCTGATGGGATTGCTGTTATCTCTTCCTGTATGTAGGTGGTGCTTCGTACAGCTCGACTTGTGGCTCAGTGGCAGTGCGTGGGATTCTGCCACGGTGTCCTGAACACGGACAATATGAGCATCCTGGGACTCACGCTGGACTATGGTCCATACGGCTTCATGGACAGGTCAGTGTTTAACTGTATGCATTTTAAAATATTCCTGTCACACATGTTACCATCATACTCATTAGGTTAGAGTCACGGAGTCGGAGTGAAGCCATAATTATAATACATTAATTATAACACATTAGGTTTGAGCGCTTCTTATTTCTCTCAGATTTGATCCAGATTTTATTTGTAATGCCTCGGACAACTCTGGACGATACTCCTACCAAGCCCAGCCAGCTATCTGTAGGTGGAACCTCGTAAAGCTAGCAGAGGCTCTTGCTCCAGAGTTGCCACCAGACCGGGCTGAGGCTGTACTGGAGGAGTACCTGGATCTTTATAACCGTTTCTACTTGGAGAACATGAGGAAGAAGCTGGGTTTGCTGAAGAAGGAGGACCCTGAGGACGAGATCCTGATCACCAAACTGCTTCAGACAATGCACAACACAGGTGGGACTATTTTGTGTACTGCTTAGAAAGAGAGTTTGATGTGACGAAACATTTAATCTAGTGACAGACTGAGAGTCTAAGAATGCGTGCATACGGCACTGCATATGAAACAGGAAAAATATTTAATGATGGATGTAACATTGTAATAACATTTTTCTGCCTCCCTTCTGCAGGTGCTGACTTCACCAACACCTTCCGTAGCTTGAGTCTGATTTCTTGTCCCACTGAGGAAAATAGCGAGGGAGAAGAGGACTCTGTCAAGAAAGCCACAGACCTCTTGATTGAGCAGTGCGCCTCCCTAGAGGAGCTCAAGGCTGCCAACAAGCCCACGATGGATCCACGGTGAGCTAGCTAATAGTTATACCGCTACACACACACAAGCCCAGCGTGTTACGCATCATGGCCAAATTCACTTATATTTTTACTTAAAACTATTAGAATAGAAATAATGACTGTGCCTGTGGTGATAATGTCAAATGTTTTGCTTTTTATTCAGTGTAGTTCATACTGCAGCCTCTGGGTGTCACTAGTGAGGCTTCATATACATCATGTCTTTTACATGCTGCTTCTTAAAGCAGCATCTGTTGATATTTTTGGTGACTTGAAGGCAGCAGAAAATGATGCAAACATTGATATTATTGTTTCCATTTATTCACCCATCGGTCAATCCATTCATTCATTTTTTAAAATTGGTTATCCATTTAAGGGTCAAAGGAGTCTAGAACCTATGGATACAAACAGTCACTGGACTCTTTATCTCAGTACCTTACTATGACGAGAGGCAGCGTGCACCTGAGCAGGTTGGCAGTCTATCTCAGGGCTAACACAGAGTGACAGTCAACTATTTATCTTCGTATTCTTACGTACAGCCAGTTTGGAGTCACTAGTTCACCTAACTGCACCTCTTTGTACCGTGGAAGGAAGCCGGAGTAGCCGGTGTGCAGTCACAGAATCTTTTTCCTGTGAGGCGATAATACTAACCACTGAACATAAAGTAAAATTATCACTCATTTTAGGTCACATGCCTATCCATCCAGCATTTTTAACTCTAAAATCTGTCCAGTATCAAGAGGAGAGCAGTAAGAATCGCAGTACTAAATAAGCAGGCAGGGATACTGTAACACTTTAACATAGTTTTTGGAAGCACTTCAGACCTTGTTTTGGTTTGCACCCATTGGGACTGTTTTTTCTTTTCTTTTGTTTTTTTGTTTGGGATCTCGGGAACTGAGACTTTTGGAAGTGATACCCATATTTGCTGTCTGTTGGATGTTATCAGAAACCATATGCCCTTCCCGGATCCTTTACACCCATATCACATGTCCATTTTCCTAAAACTAGACAAATGCTTCAACAAATTCAACATGGACAATAAATTACTGCCATCACTGACCTTGTTTGCCTTTGTTAGCAGCTGTTGTGCCATAATTTTATTATCCTTCTACTGCCTACCCAGCATAGCTTTCAAGATGGTCCTAAATGCTTATTTGAAGTGTTGTTGTTGGTTTTTTTTATTTGTTTTTGTTTTTTATGGGAACCTGTAATCTGATATTTTTCTGTTAAAATAGGATTCGAAAGTATTAAATTTGATTAAAATTTCTGAAACCCAATCCTTATCAAATTAATTTAGAAGGGTAATGGTACCTGTGATGCATTTTCCCTGAATGGTAACGAGTGTCTGCAGACTGGAGAGAACATCTGGAGCTCAAATACAGACAGAAATAGCTGAGCTCATTATTTAGCAAGTGAAACAATTATAAAGAAAATATTTAATTCTGCATTTTATGATGCCCCAAATTATGTGGAAGGTTGATCCCTGACTAATCTAGATATAAAGATGGACTTTGGAGTGAGTTTTGTGTAACCCAGTCTTTCTATGGATACAAACAGTCACTGGACTCTTTATCTCAGTACCTTACTTTCTCTCTAAACTCTTAGATTGCCTGCACTATGTCTGTGTTTTCTTTTCCAACATATTTATTTATTGGCCTATAAGAATTATAACAGTGATGTTTTGTATCCACAGTGAACTGGCAGTGCTGCTTTCTATGGCTCAGAGCAACCCAGCACTGTTCCAGATGATCTCAGACAGAGCAACAATCGCGAGGCAGTTAGAGCGACTCAGCAAACTAAAGGATCTGATGGAGACCACCCAGGAGGAGCTGAAAACCAAACAGGCAGAGGATTGGACATCCTGGATCACTCAGTATAGGTGAGACGGGGGCAAAAAAAATGAGTGAGTAAGTTTTATTAGCAAGGGACGAGAAAGAAAAGCATGGAAAATGAGAGCAGAGGAGGACCTGCATAGACCGGATTAGCTTTTGGGTTTTTTTTTTTTTAAATGTGCAAACAGACAGAAAAAAGAGGAAATGTGTGTCGAGGTGATTATTGTTCCTTTGCTGCACTTCTCTGAGGGAATGTTTTGTGTTATCACTGCCACAGGAAACGTCTGGCTCGTGAGCTGGAAGGCCAGAGTGATGTGCAGGCTGTGCAGGAGGAGAGAGTGAGGGTGATGGACAGCACCAACCCTCGCGTGATACTCAGAAACTACATTGCCCAGAATGCCATAGAGGCTGCTGAGAATGGGGACTTCTCTGAGGTCAGGTTCTAGTCGATTCTAATTTTTACTAGATAGAAACATAACTACCTTTGTCTCCTGTAGATTTTGGTAGAGAAATACAGACAACTTCCCCAGAAGCATTCACTGGAAATCAGACTGTGCTTCATTTACCCTTAATTCCCTTTTAAGTTTTTCATTTTCAGTGTGGTGACCCAGTCTCACTTCTGCTCTTTGCTGCAGGTCCAGCGTGTCCTCAAGGTTCTGGAGAAGCCTTTCTCTTCACAGCCAGGTCTGGAGCTCCCTGCGTGGGTTGGTGGAGGTGGGACCAGTGCAGAAGGAGAAAGGGATGAAGGAGAGGAGCAACAGCAAGAAGCAGCTACCGCTATGCCCAGAAATCCTGTGCCTTATGACAGCAAGCCCCCAGCTTGGGCCAATGAAATCTGTGTCACATGATCTTCGTAGTAACTTCCTTGACCGTGATCTCTCCTGCCTAAAATAACAAGAGCGTTTCAAAGTGTTTAAAGATAATTTTTTTCACATTTTTATAACTCTTCAGCTGCTGGACAACTTTGTTATTTTAGCAGGCAGTTTCAGGAAGGTCGGCATGAGGCACAGCACCTCACAGGCAAGCTGGATGGCACAAAACAGACAGCGTGTTGAGTTTGTTTCCACAAAAAATACAAATTCTATATAAAATTTAAAAAGATATACGTTTTAAAGCTGTAATATCATTTTTTGTATCCTTGTTTAACATTTGAGTCATCCTTAAATAAGTGGATGAGATTTTATATAAAATTTATATATGATATTGTGCAGTTTAAGCAGTATATTTACAGAAACTCGGGTCAATTTTTTTTTCCTGTCTGTTTTGTGTTTAATAAGCTATTAATGATGAGTCAGGCAACAAGTCTTACAGTGGCCTGTCTGGCTCTGACAAACTGTGAGGTGACACCTCGACATATACCAAAAATATGTGTGTGAGAGAGTGAATGTGTTATGATGATATTATATCTGTGGCTAAAACTGTGTTACTACACATGATTAGGATGCCGCAGCCAACAAACACGCACAATATAAAGCAGATAAGCACGCACAGTTTGTTTTCCTATATTAGAAAGCATTTTCTTTTGCAGCTGTCAAGACATTCATAGAGCCACGGATGTAATTTACTTTTTTTTTTTTTTTTGTCTAGTAACCAAGTTTAGTGAAGGACAAACGAGAACAGGATGTTGCGATTTACTTTCTTCAGGTTGTGGCTGCACAGAAAGAGGAAGTTATTTGTAGAATGTGCCACAAAAAGACTTTTTTTGTGCGAAGAGTAGAAGACAGCCACAGCCATTCATAGATTTGTATTAACTGTACTACATACGCAACAGCACTACTCATCACATGTTGCGCCTTTTTGGTGAATATGCTTTATGTGAAATGTCCGTTGGAGCTCTTCTAACAGAATCAATAAACTGAGTGATCAAGAGTCATTGTGTCTTTGTTTTTTTATTTTACTTCGTGGCATACCTGCAGTTCAGTTACAGAAGGAAACTCCACGTCCATGTCTGCGTAGCATTTTAATGTTGTCACTGTTTCTTAATCTCTCAAATAATACATTTCCTCCTGTGTAAATGTCACACAGAACACGTGACCATGTAACATTTCCAGTTTGGTTTTGTGATAGGCTTGTTTCCTTGTTCTGTTACCTGGGTGACACATTCAAGGATTTCTAAAAGCACAGCTGGTGCCTCCTGGCTTGAGTAACGTTCCTGTTCCAACACGCCTGAAACATTTGCTCTTTGTAGGCTCCTCCTAAATAGCACAATTGAATGTAGACTACGGTGTCGCAAACACGCAAGTTACAAAGACAACCGGATTGCGAAAGCCAAGGCACGTTTCACGCCAATTTCTTACTCGTTAAACCAACGAGTGACTCCATCTGTCCTGTCAGTTAAAGCATTGTCTACCCCTATTTGAACAGAAATACCTCATCATGAAGATGTTTACTCTGAACATTTTTTTATTTAGTTTTCAGTCAAGGTTGTAGTTTCTTCTTTAATTTGTCACTCGTTTGTGTATTTATAAAATGAAATCATATCCTTAGGTTGCTAAACAGGTTTTACGCACTTAAAGCGCTATGTGCTCGTTTCTCTCACGTTGCCTTCTCTTCTTCACCTTTAATTGTAGGCCTACTACAGCAGGACTCGGGAGTGGCTTTTAGCGACCTCAGGGTGCGCCCTGAGTACAGCTGCGCAATGATCGCGGGTGAGCGCATAGGTGGGATCTGGGACAATGAGATCGTAACGCCGGAAGAGCCTAAACAAGTTTAAAAAGGGGCTTGTGCTGTACTGCCTATCGAGTTTATAATAGATAAGATGAATACGCGAATCAGACCGGGCTATCACCGCCTGGAAATTAACAAAACATCATGGGAAGTACCGGAGCGGTACCGGGATCTGAAGCAGGTGGGGACCGGAGCGTACGGGACGGTATGGTAAGTGAAACCTTAAGAAATTGGAAGAAACTATTAGCCGACAGCACTGCTGCTTGATGTGGAGCGGTGAAACAAAGAGAGCGACGGAACAGATGGTGCCCTACAGACGGCTGCACTGTGCCACAGTCAAACAAAAGAAAAAGTATCTACGGTCCGCTGAACACATGCTGCTTCACTTCCTGATATGATGGAGACACTTGCAGCAACACTACTTGCGTTCTACACAATCACCCTGACAGCAACAGAGCTTAATTATGAGCAGCACATTTGCGTGTGAAATGGCAAAGCTGAGCCAAGTTTAATAAAAGCACGATAGTAAAAAGCGGCTTTTCAGGCACCTTTGTGCGTCTCGCAGCATGCGGACCCTTTGTTATCAATGATTAACGTCTTGGGCGGACACTGACCGACTGAATACAACTTAATAACACATGAACAACTCCGTTCCAGCCAGAGATCACTGCCGAGCCACGTCAGAGCAAGTAGGTGTTTGCCTGTAAACACAGATTTGGACTAAAAAACACAATTCCTCAACCGAAGATAAGGAAACAACTTTTCAGTTACACAGCCTAACCAGGAATGTTCCTTGCCTAGATTTCCTCATACAGGAAATAATAAAGGGCTATTTTTAAAATTTGTCTCACGCCATCGCATATGTATAGTGCTGTGCAGATATCTTGATATCTTTGCTTCCAAGAAACCAGACTTTCTTTAATATTTTTAAATGCTCTCTGGCATCAGTTATCCAGGCTTTCCGAAAGTCTTTCAAAATTAATTGGCTTCTTTTTCACTAATTGCAAGTCTATTCCTTGAATCTGACCATTTTCAGAGGAATGTTGACCTATGAATCATTCAAGCATAAAAGGAGGCACCAATGTTGAGTGATTAACCACTGTTGTGTAACAAACAACTTAACAAAGAACTGGTTTTAGACACTATCTTTAGGTGCTTCGATACTAGTGGCCCATCAAAAAAAACAACAACAAATAATTTGTTTCTATTTCTGTTTCTATTTAGCTGAATCTAAATAAAATCCCAAATATAACAAGAATGAAATAATATTTTTGCACCAACAAGGAAATTCCCAAAAAGCTATTAGGTAGAAACTTGGCCCATGTTGGTTTGGTGAACAGTGTGTGCTTTAACTGGAAAAGAATAAGTGGCCAGCTTAAAAAACTGTCTATAACACATGAGCAGTATCTGAAAGTCATGCCCTTAAGAAACTTGAAAAAATCCAGCAAACCCCTGACACAAGACTCGAGAGATGCATCTGGCACTTCAGTTAGTCCATTTACTACTTGCTGAAGCCTCATCAGAAATGGTCTCAGTGAAAGGATGGCTGTCAGGAAGTCATGAGGAATGAAAACAGGGAGAAAGGCCAAGGTATGTCAAACTACACTGAAAATCAGTGGTAACAGGTCCTGCGGAGCGATGAATAAGAATGTTTAAAGTTTTGGTTTAAATCCTCGATATATAAGAAGGAGGTTAAAAGACAAATACAACAGTGAGTGTCTACAGCCAACTGTAAAACACAGTGGATACTAGGTCATGGTTTGAGGTTCTATTCATGTCAAAACTGATGGAATTATGAATGCAAAAATGATTTTGATCCACCATGGAAAAGCACCTGGAAAGCATCGGATTGCCAGTGGCTTCATTTTTCAGCATGTCAGTGATTCCAAAAACACTGCTAATGTAGTAAAAGTATACCCAACAAAGAAGAGCTTTGAATGTCCTTGAAGAAGCAGAACTATTCCCGAAGCTTAAAGAAATGAAAAGAAAGCTTGCCTAAGAAACTTTAGGCTGTGTTGAAGAATAAAAGCTGTCATACAAAATATTGACTTTTATGTTTGTTAGAATTTCACAAATTCACATATTTTCATTTATGTTTGTACATTTCAATAAATCATCTGTTTCTAATTTTCCTAGCAAAATATTTAAAAAATGCGAGTTGTCTCGAAACGTTTGCACAATATTGTGTTCATATCTCCTTCAGCTCTGCAGGAGACTCAAGAACAGGAGCAAAGGTGGCAATCAAGAAGCTCTACAGACCGTTCCAGTCTGACATCTTTGCAAAACGGGCCTACAGGGAGCTGAGGCTCCTCAAACACATGAAACATGAAAATGTGAGCATAAAAAAGTCCAAACTTGTTAAAATGAGCAAACTAATGTCTTTATAGACACATGCCTCATATGAAACGTTGATTTGATGTCATTTCCTCCTGATGTAGGTGATTGGCCTGTTAGATGTGTTTACAGCTGACCTCTCTCTGGACAGATTTCGTGATTTGTAAGTACCTTTTCTGCCACTCTGACAGAAGCATGGAGATATTAAAACTGTGTTCTCTGCAAATCCTCAAGGACATTTGTAAAGTTTTAAATATGATTTTTTGTTATTTTCCAAGTTATCTGGTGATGCCCTTCATGGGAACAGATCTGGGGAAGCTGATGAAGATGCAGAAGCTCTCAGAAGAAAAAATTCAATATTTGGTTTACCAGATGCTTAAAGGGCTCAAGGTAAGGAGCTCTGCTTTGATCAGCTGCCAATCCATTATTACTATGTTAAAATATTCAGCTCGCTGCATTCCTTTATTACAGTATATCCATTCTGCTGGTATCATTCACAGGGTAGGCTCTCTTTAATATGTATTTTTCACCAAACATATATGTGAAATATGTGAAAAGTATTAAGATAAATGGTTGTTGGTGTTTCTCTTCCTACTATGGTGCGGCGTTGCTTGTCTTTTCATGTCAACATTTGCAGGACCTCAAACCAGGAAATCTCGCTATCAACCAAGACTGCGAGCTCAAGGTACACACGAACACACCCTGATAAAAAAACAATCATGTCTCAGTTTTTGTTTTATTAGCGTGCACTGTCAAAACGGAGTTCTGTAATAACACTGATAACTGCACGAGACAGAATTTCATTGACGTTTGTATGTTTTTATATTAAGTCCCTGCTAAGACTTTAATTTTACTTTAATGTTTGTTGCAGATCTTGGACTTTGGCTTAGCCAGGCAGGCAGACAGTGAGATGACGGGGTACGTAGTAACTCGCTGGTACAGAGCCCCAGAGGTGATCCTGAACTGGATGCACTACACTCAGACGGGTAATGTAGAGCTCATTCAGGGGTGAAAAAAAAAGCACTCTTACTGTGATCTTTCTATCTGTGTGTCAAGTTCAGCGCTCCCCATTAGCACCAAATCATTAACAGCACAAAGTGGTTGTTCTACTCACTGTGTGCTTAACTCCATTTCCTAGATGTTCCTTTGAACAGTGCCCGATGCCTGTAGGTGGAGAATATTAGCTTTAGGGAAAACATGGCAAAGTGTTTGTCTAGCTTTAATTTTAAATTAACCTTAAAGTGTGGGATTTTTGCTGCTGGGTCATTCCATTAAAAATCAATGAATCCCCTCTTTTCAGAGTACGTGGGGTGTGTTGAAATGTGGGGCTTTTTATGTTCTCTTATTTTTCCAGTACTTTTTGAGCTCTTTTAACTCCCTGACAGAAGATAGTCCCATTAAATGTTCAAAGGAAAAAGTGCAACAATTCAATTGGCAGGACATAGAGAACACCGAGTCTTTGTACCCTAAATGTTTGATCTGTTTTCTGCTAATTCGTTAGATGAAACTTCACAAAGCCAATTTTGGGTAATTTTCAGGGACCAAATGGGATAGGAGGGTGGTCAAATCAAGTTAAGGTCTCCTTTATGCCTCCATTCTGATGCCAGGCTCATCTTCTGTCTCAAAATATTTTTTTAATGTAATCTTTTTTTCATACTTACCAATTTTTTATTTTATATACTTTTTAGGGAAATTAAACTGACCAAATAAGCACTATTCATGTATGCAATATTCTAAAATGTGTGTTTTGCAACTGTGCAACTATCTGCGATTGGTCATAAGCAACATGCCCAGTGTCCATACATCACAATCTTGTGAAAAAAGGACTTTTCTGTCTGATCATCATGAGAGTGTAAAGCTTAGTCCAGATGGGAATATAATATAAAGAGTCAACATCTCAGCAAGCTTTGTGATCTGTTACTTTCACAAATGACACGTGTCACAAGACCTGCTGTCGAAAAGGTTTATGTGACAGACTTGGAGCAATGATTAAAAACTTGCAGCCAGACCCGGTTTATAACTAACGTTTACAACAGCAATCACATCCTGACCCTACGGCGACGCTTTCAGTGTTTGACCCAATGATGTTCATAGCAAAAAAAAAGGGCAAGTTTTAGGATCCAGTAAGACAGTCCTGCAGAAATGAGAGCTATTCTCCAGTTCATGAGGCCCAGCTGAAAATGTTCAAGTTGTCGAGACAGTCGCCAAGAATGGCAATATAACTGTGACAACATGAGCAGTATTAGCAGTTAACACTGGTCCCTTTGTGACTGCTGTCTATGACAGCAGGTGGCTATAGTGATATATTTGAGAAATAGATGTTGGGGTTCTCAAACAAACACAGAAGGATCCAAAAAGAGTACAAGTACTTTCATATTACGACATAAGCCATGAATGTTTACAGAAAGTAGACCTATTTAAGTTTTCTGTGGTTAATTATCAGAAAATAGACTAAACATCCAAGTTAGCATCTACACATTACAATTTGCAAAAATGTGATATATCCTGTGATAATTGATTCTCAGCTGGTTATAGAATAAATCTTAGTGAACAAAAGAAAGATTTTGGCTTTAATTTGTAGGTTTTTTTTTTTAGTTTGGAATGTTTTTGCTGTTTTGTCACAGAGTTTAAATGTGTCCAGTCCTGAAGAATTTATTTTTATTTACTACTTAAGTTATTAGGGAATAAAAATGCTGGAAAATAAGGCACTTAAACAGTGTCTGATATTAATCTATGTCTTTGAGGGGCCTGTAACTTGGACGATTTTCCCCTCATCCTAAATGCCACAGCAGATGTCTGTCCCACTGTTGCTAAGTGCTATCTCTCAGGGGATCGTCTGATTGTGGTGGTTTTCCCTCTAATGTTGTAGCATCTTTATCTTAAAATTTAAAGTGTCTTGAGGTGACTGTTGTTGTGAATTCACACAATAAATAAAATTAAATTAAATTGAGAAGAATGAATTAAAATATGCTAAAGTTATTGTACAAAAAGAAGATGTCAGTACTGTTAAGCCCGGTGTTGTCTTAGTTATTATCCACTAGGTGGGGCTGTTGTAACACTTTGTTTTAGAATGGATTACTAAATGTTTGGTGTTTTCTCAACTCTGCTTTTTATTTCTTCTTTCTCAGTGGACATTTGGTCAGTGGGCTGCATCATGGCAGAGATGCTGCAAGGAAAACCTCTTTTTAAAGGCAGTGACCGTATCCTTTCACCTTGTTGACTCACAAGTTATAAAACAAACATGTTGCTTTTGTCTAACCTAATATCTTTTTTATTGTACCTTTTTATTCTTATTTGAGCCTTAACACCTCTTCTTCAGACCTAGATCAGCTGACTGAGATCATGAAGCTCATAGGAACACCATCACAGGAATTTATATCAAAACTAGACTCTGAGGATGTGAGTTCCAAAAATGTGTAACTTTGTGGTCCTAAAGATTGTTGTGGTGCTTAGTTGTGCTTGAAACAATGACATTTTAGGAACTGGAGGCAGATTTGAGTGCTTTGTTGGACTTTAGTGGTACAGTATTAAGTTAATAAACACATACCTAATATGGATTTATCATATTTTATGCCTATTCGTTGTCCTCTCTGTCTCTTCTTAGGCAAAATCCTACCTCAAAAGCCTTGGAAAAGTGGAAAAGAAAGACTTTCAGAAGGTGTTTTCCACAAGTAATCCACAAGGTATTACATACTCAGGCCTTTAATTTGATGTGTTTTCATTTTGGTAAACAAACTCCAAATGGATTTTCTGTTGTCATCATTCTCACTCAGCCGTGTCAGTGCTGGAGCGAATGTTATTGCTAGATCCAGAAAAACGGGTAACTGCTGCAGAAGCTCTCACGCTGCCTTACTTCACTGAGTTTAGAGACCCAGACGAGGAGACGGAAGCACAGCCATATGATCACTCACTAGACAATGCAGAGCTGACTTTGGACCAGTGGAAACGTAAGAATGAAGGGGCGTATTGAGGTTGCAATTTCAGATGGACAGAGGCAAAAGGAGGTGGAAAGTGTGAGCTACGTGCTTTTGTTTAATATCCTGCTGTGCTGCTTTCTTTAGGTCACACCTTCACAGAGATCTTGTCTTTCAAGCCTGTTGTGCTGGAAGCCAAGGACCCCTCCAAGGAAACCTCACTGTAACATGCACAGAGCTGACACTGCAACCTGGAACCAGAACAAACAAACACGTTTTTTTTAATGACAATCTCAACTATGAAAACTCAACTTAATGAATGTAAACTGGGATTTTTCACGACAGTTAAATAGACACTTTATTTGTTCTAAAATAATAAATGTTTCATTAAAATACAAAGTCTCAGCTGCAAATCAAGTGGCTTTATAGTAACACGTTAAAGGACTGTGTGAGTACATATTACCCAAAGTTTATAGGTTCAGAAGTCTTTGGACAGATATGCATGAATATTAAACATCTGTGGAGAAGTTAATGAAGCCATTAACCTATAAACATCAGTCGACACTTGTGTCATCCCCGGTGGTGCTCTCCTCGGCTACAGCCCTGCCCTATAAGCTGTTAATTGTCATGGGTCCTCCTGCCTTTAGTCTAATATTCAGTAAGAGGAATAGAGCTCAGCTGGATTATCAAATCAAGGACAGCTTAGAGAAAAACTTTGAACACTGACAAGGAAACATGTCCACATGCTTCCTTGAGAGTATTGCCATGAAGTGGAGCTTTGAAGTGCAAATGATTTTCCTGTCATCTCAAAGATTTATTCACCTGTGATTCACCCTTGACTTTGGCAAATCAACCACCTTTAGTATCTCTTTTATCATTTTATTCCTTGTACTGACAGAAAACTTTACCTTAATCTAAAAGGTCACATGTGACCATTTGCTTGTCCATCTATTTTGTGTGTCTCTCCAACCAGAGCTTTGGCTGTGGAAGGATTCACGTCTATCTCCCAAAAATCACGTTCACTACTGATGCAAAGCCATTCACAAACGCATCGTGGCTTAAAGCAGATACTTGGCATTTTAATGTTGCATTTGTTCATTTATTTTTGATTTGTGCTTGAATCACAGAACCTGAAGGAAAACAGTAAAAACAACACAGAACTGTTCCAATTTCAGTTTCAGGGGTACAGATATTTTTTTCTATTAGTTCTACTGAGTCCATGACTATCTATCACCTGGTACAATTTAAGTATTCCCACCTTTAATGAAGAAGTTTAGTATTTTAGAAATAGAAATACTGAAATTCAATAAGAAGTTTTGAAAAAAAACAACCCATTGTTAATAGGATGCTGTTGAGTTAATTGTATTGTATTTAAAAGTACGATTATTAACAAACACTTGTAATTTATGTTAATATGCTATCTTGCAACTTTCGCATTATATGCAACTTGTCTTGAAGTGTGTGCGTGTGGGTGTGTATGTGCACTGTGGTTCATGTGAAATCCCTCAGCAGGGTATGCACAAACATTCACGTTTTAATTTCAAAACCAAAGGTTTCTGATTGTTTAGACTTTGTAAAGGTTGCAAAACACACCTTTATGTTTCCAGCGAAACTTGTGCAGTTTTTGTCTTTTTTTGCGGTGGTTTTCCGAGCAGATGTTCTGTTTAAACGGTTCATCATATACAGAACCTTAAGTTACGTTTAACCTTAGTATCTTCACTTTTAGGCCAAACAATGAAAACAACTTATAATGAACAAAATGGAAGAAATAATCAATATAAGGCTGGACTCCACTTCTGTTGTTACGAGTTCGGTATATACTTGTAAAAGCAACATATCCATGTCCTTAACAAACATACAATTTAACACTAGGGGGCAGCATGTAAACAAGCAACAACATGGCTGTGCTAAAAACTGTGACGTGGGTTGACCCACCGTGTAGGTCTAGACTGAAATAGCTTTACAAAAGAGTAAGTTCTTTTCTTTTTTTCCCATTAGCTCTACCAACAGGTCAAACCTTTGATTTTTGGACAAATACTTGAAAACTGTTGGCATTTCCATCAGCCTACATACACCATGTTTAATGGCAATAAGTAAATGCTATTATGCTCAACACTGATAAACAAAATAGTCCATCTGGCAAACATCAGCATGTTAACATCGTCACAGTGAGCATGAGAGCAAACTGTTTTTAGCCTTTTGTTCTCGGAGGACAGACTTGTTATTTTATTTTTAATGATAAGTTGTCATGGTAGTATTACAGTGATTTATTGTACTTTAGTTAACACTAACAACTTTGTACTGACTATGATTGATGAGCTCAAGAAACAAATGTTTTAACATTCTTGCAGATTTCATCTTTGCCTTTAGATTCTGCTCATTCCTCAACCTTCTGCTGGATAGTGTTGAATTTAACAGGCTAGTGAACTCCAGATCCTTGACTCCAAAGGGTGACTCTCCAGAGGACAAGCTTCCTTCCTGGGCCTGAGCTTCTCCAAACCAAACCCTGGATGTTGTGTTCTCACACATGAGGTTGGGGTGATGCTGAATAGTTCACAGAGAAGTCACAGAGTTCTGTTCCCACTGCAGACAGGAAAGCAGAGGGGAGAGTATTCTCCAACACAGCAGCACATGCATAGATTACCTCTCTTGTTTGTTAATCCTGTAGCTTATTTTCAGCGTGCTGGATTCCAGCACCATATTTCCAAAGACGCATGTGTATAGAGTTCATACGTGTACACCAGTACAGATGGATACAACTGGCATGCACAGTTGGATGCACATCTCACACACTCATTCGCATCAGAGTGCCAGTGCCTCAAGAGGGAGCACGTGTGGAATGACAGCAATGCCCAAACACTGATCTGACCCAGGTCACTCTCCTTTCTTGAAGGGGAATGTCATAAATTATAACTCTGTTTACTTCATGCGTCTGGGGGAGGTACATCACCATGAATCTCAGCATGGTGAGAGGATTAACATTGTCTTTGCTGGGGTGCTTTGTAGTTCATGCATCCCTAGGAATTCTGTAGGAATTCTACAGTTTGCATCATTTGTCTCGGAGCAGAAACTCAGACAGCTAAAGATTTAATAAATAAGAGCCAGTACTGTCATCACGAGAATGAAATCAGTTCTTTATAGCCATCCAAGTTCATCAGGTTTTATTGAAATGAACCACAGTGACAGAATACCATCAGTGACAGTGTTTATTCTCCAGATAATCTGAGTTGTCATGTCCTTGCTGGAGATAAAATAAACAGATTCAAGGGCTCAGCAGCGATAAATTGATTGGCGTTTTACCAGGAGCTGAAGTGAAAGTCTGCCAGCTTGCTGAATGTCCTTGTCATTGAGAGCACTGAAATTTTATTTTTAAATAGCAGGGTATTTGTGTACATGATGTTCGCCATGCAGCTATTTTCTTGGTTCCATGTGTCATTTTGGATCTGTGTGGCTGTGGCTATTCACTGGCATAAAGAGAGAAGCAATAAAACATTTTCTTATGCATGTATTTTCTTATAAATGGCTGAGCGCATCAAGAACAATGTGAAAATTCAAATATTCTGTATGACAGTATGAATATATTTAGTGCATATCCCTGCAACTACTGGCAAGAAACAGGTGGATTTTTTTTAGTAAGCTTGCTCATATTGAAGTGGATGCAATAATTTTTTCCCAATTTGAAAGGGAGAGGAAGTTATCTGTAATCATTTCCGAAACTTTGCAAGTTAATATGTTTTCTGTTTGTTTGCTTTAGCAAATTAATACTTGTGTTTAGAACTTTCTAGTTTCAGTGTTATTTCGTTTGTGTTTATATCCCAGTGTTTCTGTGTGTGTCCACATCCCAGTGTGTATAAGTGGAGGTCAAGCTCACTGAACCCTGATAATGGTGAGCCCCACAATTGGCCGACATGAGAGTTTTTTTGTCTAACTATGTCACCCACATCCTCTCAGACCTTCTCCAGTCTTTCTCTTTTCATTAATGTTGCCCCAATCATTGTAAGATGTATACAGAAGCAAACAAGTCCATGGGATCCTTCAGGAGGAGAGCAGGACCTGCTGCACACAGTATAAAGGAAATTCCAGAGGCTCACATGGAACCACTGTTAATACTTTGGGGAGATACTCCAACTCAAAGAACCCACCAGGATGTGGGTGGGTTGAAAAAGGACATAGGGAAGAGGAAAGGATTGGAACAAAGGGAAGAGTAAAGAGATGTGAAATTAGAAAAGAAAGATTGGCCACTCTGGATGAAAGTCAAGGAAGAGGAGATGAAGAAAAAGACTGCAAGAGATACAGAGGGCCTGAGGGAAAGGGCACTTTAGTTTACATTAGCTCATTCGTTAGCCATCCACAGCTTGTTTGAAGACTTCTGTGGAATATACACAATGTTAAGAGCGTCTGCAACAGATTGCATTCTCTCTCCGAGGATAACTCAGTTTCCATATGTGATGTGTTGACGTATGGGCTGTGGTGTGTCACGTTTAAGACTGATGGGAGTCAGCCACTGAGTAGGAGGAATCATTGTAGTTTTAAATAGAGGACAATGTGTTGACCACAGCTTGCTTTTGAGACTTGCAATATGTGTAACAAGTAAACATATCTCTATCTTATTGACAGGAGTTGTGATTTTATGTAATTAAAGGTACAAGTGTTTCTGCAGTGGGTGCTGTTAGGAAGCTTTTGCTTGTGTCCTGGATTCGATTTTCTATCAACAAGCTCTTTGTGAACACTGTCTATGCACTTAACTAAACTGCCTCACTTTAACAACTCTCTCAATTATATACAATAAATAATATGATAGTTTCTAAAAGGTGAAAGTCAGGCACTGAAACAAACAGCTGTAAAAAATACAGGAAATGGAATGTAAATTGTAACTACTGTTCTTTGTGAATACAGTTAAATGATGTAAATGTGGGTGTTCAAATTAACAGAGGTAGCACAGCAGTAGTACAAGGATAGTACAATGATTTACTTTAGCAAGTGTAAAGACTGTAAAGGGGAATGTCGATGTTGAAAGTAAAATCATTCACTTAGAAGTGCCATAATTCAGTTATTTCTTCTTTAGACTTTGATTGTTGTGGATGTGTAATATGGTTCCCAGTTTGTGTATAAGCCTTAGCTGCTGCTCTTAAGATTCCCATATTCATTATGTCTGTAAACATTAAAATTCTAAAAATAACAGCATTCCTGTACCTGTGTGTGCACAGGAATTGTGACAAAGCTGTACAGCTGAGGACATGTGCTACACTTTACAGTAATCACAGCAACACAACAGCTGACAGTATTACGTTGTAATCATATTGTGAAAATAAAGTTATATTCAAAACTTTTTCTTATCTGCTACATTGTTTCATTTAGTGCTTGTCATTCACTTTCGTGCGATATGTTTCACTTTTATTAGAAATAACAGACT